ACATGATTCCATGTACTATTGCATATTTCGTATTACTTTCCATTAATAGCGTAATTCATAATGTCAATAGTTCGAATATAGTACACAATTTCTAAATATGCATATGGAATTAATAATATTACTATTGAATAATAGATCATTGTCAATTATATATCCAGATTCAAGAAATGACAAGATTTAAATTAATATTTATATTAGTTCTTATCATTAAAAGTATACTCATAGCTATTAATTATGACAAAAAAAAAATCATTTTTGAAATATCAACTCCAAGAGGATCATTCTATGATGCGTTCATTCAATCAATCATCGACTGTCGAAATACGAGAACAAACACACCATGTTCTTTCAAAATATGTGCTTGTTATTGGTGAAATACACATTGATTACATAGCTGTTCCATCAAAAGTTCCTTGATAGTAGTATAGATGATTCTAAACAATCAGTACGAGCTACATCAACTATTGATCGTGCATTCTCTTTGATACATCAATGGTGAGGTTTTTTTGTCACAATAAATAGTATCATATGTTTCTGGTCAGATATATTAATTACTGCATCGAATCAGAGTTGTTCGATCGCTGTTGGACAATGTATATCTGATTATTCTACTCAGATTCGGATATTCAATAGGGCTTTTAAGCCACAATACATCATAGGATTAAAACTATATAATACTTGGACTACTCACCCATAGTCGATACATCAACACATGTGGAACTACTTTTTTCAAGATTAGAATTTACATGTTGATTTTGCTCTAATAAATACCAACAACTCAAGACAACATATTTAAAAAGTTTCAAGCGGTTAAAGAGTTATATGAAATGGAAATAAAGAAGTTTTCGTGATCGTATTTAGTTGTTCAATAAATATGGCTAATAGTAAAGCGAACAGTACTAGCATAGGATCAAATGTTGTTGCCTTTTTTCTATTTGTTATTACAATGTCTTGCAAATTTCCTTTGATTTGAGGAATGGAGTATTTGATACCATAATGCTTGCTGATTTTTATATCTATAAACAATTGTATTATTATGACGCAGTTTCAATACTTATAGTGATCTTTGTTTTGCAATACGGATATTTATGGCTTGTACAATGACTGTGAAAAATTATAATTAGCGTTTTTCTACTTTAAGTATTTTAATGCTCTCTGTTTTTTGAGATTTCATTAAATAAATCAATTGATTATGCAATATATATATGCACTATTATGACAAATAATAATTATAAGACTTTAAGTCGGATTAAAATTTAGATTTCTTATTGATTCAGTTCGATTCCAGAGAATAAGTTTTGAGAAGTTTCCTTTACTATGGATTGGTATAATATGTTACTCGATACATTGCTGCCAATGACTATATCTCAGAATTATTTGGATATCCATAAAATACTGGAATTTATATATATATGTCTAAACGTAACACAACGACGGTCTATGATTATTGTACGGAATTCAATGAAAAAAAAAAAACATCCCATTTAGATGAATGATACGCTGCTCATCTACGTGAGGTAACTGCATATATTGAGTAGAAAAGAATGCATCTGTTTATCCATTAACGAGTTAACATGTTATTGATTTGAGAAAATTACCAAAAAACAATGTTATCAAAATGGAGAGCATCGATTATAGATGAACATTATAAGATTTTGGTTAATGAACATAAAAATACAAATCATAATGAAAGTTATGTATTTTTTATGTAAATCAATGATAAATTCTATTGTCTGTTTCTTCTTTCTCTACTTTTGATGAACATGTTTAATTTATTGCATGAATAAGAAACAATTTTTCTTTTTGAAATTGTAAATATTTTCCATTCTGTCTTATGTATTTTATCTTAAGTTACTGAATTCGGATATACTTTTTTGTTATTTCATACATTTTGTTTAAAGATTGAAATAAAAATATAATAACAATGAAAGAACATTGTCTTATTAAGATATAGCAAAGGTTACGTCCAATTAGTAAGAATCAGAAAAGAATTCAAGAACACAAGAATCTTATCGACAGGGTACATCTTGCTTAATCAGCTAAGATTTGGTATACATGGATTTTGCTAGAAAGGCAAGAATCTTACGTTGAACTATATCTATAAAGAAACTTAATTGACAGTCAAAGAAATAAAAAGAATCTAGAAAGAATAAGTCTAAGAGAATATGTTTATTCTATTGAAAGCAACCGCGTTTAATCATATCCGTCGGCATATATTCACATTGACGGTCAAGTATTGCTTTGAAAATTCGATGTACTTAAAACAAGATTGAATGCCTCAATAAGTAAAAATAAATATACCTTTTGTTTCTAAATGTATTTTGTAGATATGATAGAAGTTTTTTCTTCTTATTAAACTTTCTATAATTGTAAATTGGTCATTACATTGTCATGAGGATGTGATTTTTCAATTAGTCATTTTAACAAAAGTCTCTTTAAATATCGTTTTTTTTTTGTATTTATTTGTAATCTTCTCTATTCAAAAACGAATGAACATTTTTTGATAGTTCAAATGCATCATCAATTATCTTTAAAATAGTTGTACCTAACCACTGTCAGTTATTTCCATAACACTTTAAGTAATAGTGAAAAAACACCTATATGAATTAATATGAATGGAAAATAAATCAACAGAATCAACTAATATATGTTATCACTCTCTCGTATGTCAATTATAATGATCACAACCAAATCTCTTTAAATAATGGATGTTTTAAATCTTTCCATATGATTCAAATCGGACGAAACCCATCAGTAAACCTTCGGTATTATGTACGCTATACCAGCAGTACTAGCCGATAGTGACCAAAGCTTTCGGTATACCAACAAACAATCGGTGGTAGATTATCCTTTGATAGGCCATTCTACGGTAGCATACAATAATTGTTCTCTAAATAGAAACCTACTGTCGATACTCCATCGATTCTTATGAGTACGGCGGTAGTACGAAAAAAACGTATGACATAGACGGGTGTGATAGTATTTTTAGCCATACCGAATGGTAAGAAGAGCAATAACACGTGATGTTGCTCGTTTTTTTTTATCAGTCTATCGTCATATAACCAACGTACTCAATATAAAAATTTCTTTGAGATATATTTTACTACAATATGATTTCATTCAAAATTTTTTAACTGATTTTTTTCAACTTTTTTGAAATTATTCAATCGTTTCTCGTATTACTTCCTAAGTTATAGTTAGACGTAAAAAGAAAAGAGTCATAGGAAGTAGTATAAAAAGAAAAAAAAACAAATACATCCTTTTTTTCTTTCTATTCTTTGTCCAATCAACGTGATAGTCTGGTGTAACGAAGGTGTTTGACGTGCACTTATATATAGTACTAGTAGGAAACCCACTTTATCCTTCTAACATCTATTTGAACTAAACGCTTGAAAATGTCTTATTCAGGTAAACTAAATATATAAACAATTGACTAATATAAATATTTATTATATTTTCGTTTAGACGATGATCATTCTGCTTCAAAATGCCTTGGTTGTCATTCGAAACGAATTTCAATAGCCGTATTACCTTGTGGACACGCAGCTCTATGTGTTTCATGTGCACATTCAACGAATCGATGTCCGAAATGCAATAAGGAAGTAAAATTTCTCATGAAACTTTACTTTTCTTAATCTTATTTACTTTTTGTATATGAACTATTGTTATTTTCAACATTGTAAAATTTTTGGTATCATAATAAACGAGAAATTGAATATTAATTCATTTATCATGATTATTTCGACTATTTTAATATACAAAAAAAGATCAAGTTTCATAAGTTTTAGTTGGAAAATTCCAAGTTGCATAACAGGAAAGTTCCAAGTTTAAAATATTTACTTAATTATGTAATGATGATGCGTAAAATATACTATGTGTCATTAAAGCATGATTTTGTACTGAAATATAAGTTTAAAAATGAGTCAGAATAAAAGTTGAGTGTGTATGACTTCATGATTATTTTCTATAAATAAAAGTACGTTATTGGCAGTTTTGTTGGAAATCAGTTCTGTATAAGTGGTTATTTGATTGTGTAGTTAGTTTAATAGTATCATCATACTATAGATGCGTCCCATTGAAATATTTTCCTTTATATTTATTAATATTTGATTTAAGCACAATCTTTTTTTTTCTCTAATAGTTGCGCGTATTAAGCAAATATTGAAATAACCTTTCGACTTTTTGTAGCATTTCATCTTCAACCGATCCTAATATTAATCAGACATTTAATGGATAATCAAACAGCAATTGTTTTAACTAGTAATACAGGTATATAAAGGTTTTTTTTGTTACATATTTTTATTTTTATTTTCACAATTCAACAAAAAAAAAAAAGACAAATCAATTTGACAGTTGAATTATACAAGTAAAATCTTTTTTTTTTCTTTTCAAATATTTTTCATTTTTCAAACATTCATGAGCACAAAGATGAATAACTATCTTATTGATTGAATTCAATTCCTTGAGAAAAATATTTTGTATTAAGAATTTTCTCGACGATTATTTCAACAATCCTTTTTCTTTAATTTTTATTCTGAGTAAATTTTACCAGAATATGTGTACATATAATATTATTGTTTTATTAAGAAAAATATTTGTAAGAATAATTAAGATTATTGTTTATCATGACAAATACATAAGATATGTTTCTTTTTTCTACCGTAGATTATTATTGACAAAATAAGTTTTCTTTGAGTACATTGATCTTCTGCTATATTAGTCATATTATCGCTATTATGAATGAAAAAAAAACATTCTCTCATAAAACTTGATGGAATTTTCCAACAAGTTGTTTACAACTGTAAAAATAACAAATGACAAGTTAACTGTTTTACATATTACTAATTAGTTTTATAATTAGCTGCATGTAGTTTTGTATTTCGTCATGATATATGCTTGTTTTGATTAAATATTTTTGACATACTTTATAAACATATACTGAGTAAAATATTTCTTTGAACTTCTTTTTTATTATTGTCTAGAGGACAATAATGAACGTGATGTATTATATGAGGCAAAATCATTTCGACAGACGCGTGAACGCACCTTTTTACAATGGCCATTACATCCATATCCGTGTCGCTTGAAGATGAAAGAAGCTGGTTGGTTTATTGTCCGTACTGAAGATGGTAAATTAATTGCTGTATGTTTGTATTGTAAAAAAGGATGTACAGGATGGAACTATAGACATGATCCATACAAAGTTCATAAATATCTTTCTCCAAATTGTGATTTTGTCTCATTTCCTTGTACAATTCAAACACCACCATCACCTATTGTTGAATCAGTACCACGTCGTGAACAAGTTCGACCATCATCACATCCAATGGCGATATTACCCGAAAGAGTGAACTCATTTAATCAGTGGCCACCTGCATCATTTCATCCATCGTTTGATATTCTTGCTGAAGCTGGTCTCTTTTATAATGGTAATCATACAATAGTTGAATGTTTTTCTTGTCAAGGACAATTAACTATCGTTGATGTAAACAATGATCCGATGACAGCACATATTCATCGATGTAAATATGCTAGACATTTAAGAGGTAGTTTATCTCATTTATTCTTAAACTTATTTAAATGATTTTTTCTTTTTAAGATCAACCTCAAAGAGCTCCACTTCAGATACAAGCATCTCATAAAGTTTATAAAATAGTTGAAAAAAGAGTCAATAATGTTATGTTTTATTTTTTACAATGTATATCTGCTTCAATACCTCTGATACTTTTATCTGTACGCATTGTTCTTCCAAATGGACAAGAATTAGTAACTTCAGATAGAAATATTAAACGATTACGTCCTAGTAATCAACTTCAACAAAGTTAGTTATTGTTTGAAAAATAAATATGTTTTCTTACTTTTTTTTTATTTTAGAAGTTAATTGGGTGACAAGTTCTGATGGACCATTAGTTAATATTTGTAAAGAACTTGCTCAAAATCCTGTTGATTTAAATGCTATAACAGATAATTCAATGTATGTCAAATAAATATTTATTTTATATTTAATTTATAGAATTTTTTTCATTAAGATATTCAACAGAAGGATTTTCATCATCCAATATAAATAATACTGTTAATCCTTCATTTCAATGCAAAACTTGTTTAACAGATCAGGCATCCCCTCATATTGTTTCTATGAAATGCTGTCATTTTGGAGTTTGTTTTAAACAATGTTTTTTCAAATGGATGACATGTGTTACATGTGGCTATACACTTGGAAAGGCAATACGTATATATGGTGCTTAAAACTACATGATAATGGATACTTTTTCATCTTCAAAAATAACTTCATCATATTTCAGAAATATAATATATAGTAGCGAACATAAGTTTCGAGTAACTGTATTTTTTACTTTTCTTCTCAATAGTAATAACTAGAAAGAATTTAAAAAAACATTTGAGTAACTGAAAAGATTAGTAGATCTGAAAATTCCAATAAAATTACTTAAATGAGAATGTCTGAAAAATCCAGACCTCCAAAACTAGTTTTCTGATATTCATTTGAAGCCTTTCAAAAATAGTTTGATTTCATAGAGCAAATAATTCTGAGCGAAAGGAGTCGTCTCTGACGTTCTTTCATCGAACTGCATTCAACTTATAGAAGGCCTCAAAACATGAAATCATTGAAATTTTTCAATAAACAAAAGAAAAAATACTTCTTAGGTCTTCTGTGAATTGAGTTCAGCTCGATGTAGGAAGTGAGAGATGGTTGTTCATTTTACTCAGAATTATTTACTGTATCAAATAAAACTATCTCCGAAAAGCTTCAAATGAATGTCAGAAAATTGATTTCGAAGGTCTTGATTTTCCACACATCTCCATCCAAGTAGTTTTATTAGAATTTTTAGATTCGCTAATCCTTTCAGTTACTCAAATGTTTATTTAGATTCTTTCTAGTTATTACTAACAAGAAGAATATTCAGAAATACAACTGCTTTAAATTTTTGTCCGTCACTATATAGTTTGCATTTGTTTCTTTTTTTTTGTTTTAATTCATAAAAAAAAGAAGAAGGTGCTCATTTTGATACATGCTATTGAATATAAGCAATCCTTATCAGTCATCGAATCGTTTGTTTGGTATTATTGAATTAAGATAAAGATTTTTTTTTCTGTTCAGATAAGTTTTCTAGGGAATAAATTAAAAGAAAACATTCATAAATTTTATCGCCAGAAAAAAGTCATCATTGACATATGTTCATTTGAAACAAAAAATTATATTAGAATTTATTATTTAATCAATCAAGAAAATCCTTTCTAAGCTTTTTTTTTTAGAATATTAAGATGCTGACAAAAGTCTTTATGATTTCTAGGCTAATTTTTTTATTTAGCTCATACACATTACATTAAGGAGTTTTTTTTATTAATTTAAACTAATCTTTGATAGATTTATCAACTGATGCAAATTAAAAAAAAACAATAAAAATAAATATTCCTAATTAATATTTATCATCATGAGTCAAATGATAAAATTAACTTTTATGCTAATAAAGATCTTCATCTAAATAATTGCCTATAATTAAGTTTATTATATAGGTTATTCAGTGTAATTTATAATAAAGATATTTATTGGTATTTGATGTATTCTTTTTTTTGTTTTATCTTTATTGTTTTCATTTTGAAACCTCTTATGACATTAAAATAAATCTTAACATTTTCAGTATATTGTTAATACTTTTTTTTTCCTCTTTATCAGTTACAACATTTGTTCAATTTGTACGTGCAATCATCTACATCAAATACTATAATGCATGTTGTTCATCAAGTAGAGAAGTGAAATATGAGCTCACGGTTGCTATCAACACCTCTAACCAACAAGCGTCGTTGTCGTCATTCAGTATATGTCACAATCCTCTTATCATCTACTTCATAAAATCCTACTACGTATGCACGTCTTGTCATGTTCTCATTCATTCTTTTTTTTTTTTTCTTCTACTCTCTTATCGATAAAAAGAGAGGAGAAAGAACAATGAAATATCATTTATCAATAGTCACATCATATACAAAGAAAGAAAAAATAAGAAAAAAAGAGAATCTGCTTCCGAATAACAAAAAAAAAAAAAAAGAAGAAGAACAAGAGAATAAAGAAAACAAAACGAGTGTGAAGCAATTGAACAGTATACTTGCACTATCACCAGGGGTGCTAATTGAGAAAGAGAAGAGAATAAGCAAAGCATTCAAAAAAAGAGGAGAAAAAAAAACCTCATTTTGAACAATTACTGGCATCACCATTATTACTTACCTATCCGATTTCAATCTTTTTTTTCTCGTTTGTTCTCTTATTTCTATCTAGATGACGCACTACCATTTCACTTTTTTTCTCTTTTTTCTTTTTTGATTCTTTGATGGTGTTCTGTTGAACATTCAAGCCAGGAAATAGTAAAAACATAGAAGAAGAGAAGCAACAAAAACAACAGCATCCACTTTTGAGGTCTCAAATGAGAGCATAGCATAACATTAACGGCACAGTTGTGACTGATGAAACCTATCCAACAACATCAAGGTATGTTATGGTAATGTGTTAACTGTAGCTATAGAGTTCTTTTTTTTTTTCTCTTTTTTGTCAATGGTAGAATATTATCATACAAATCAGTACTTACAGTTACTAAGCTGCAGGAAAAGTTGTTGCTAAGAACATACGGACACATATCTATAGAGTTTACATCTTATCCATTGTCGACTTTAATCATAGAAATATGATAAGAAAAGGAAGACAACTAATATTAAAAGAAATGAACCGAATTTATTGTCAATTAAATCAACTATAAAAATAAATCGAGTAACAAAAAAAGAATTCAAGCAGAAAATTTCTTGAAGAGGAAATTTTTATATTCATTCATCTCTAAAAATCGAAAATGTTCACCTTTAATCAATATACAAATTAGTATAAGAGCTGTTTAAAACTTAAAAATTTTACTACATATCACTTGAATTATTCTTTCATATGAAACCACTTATAAAAAAAAAAAAGAAGAAATTACGACGAACGAAAACGACAGGAAATGAGATACCTTTTATTTTAAAATACTTCGTATTCTAGATTATTTTATTTGTCATTTCATTAGTTTCATGTTGTGTGTAATTTCTCTTTTTTTCTTTTCTTTTCGTTTTTCTCTCTTTTTTTTTTAAATTATGATTAAGTTAAACGATTTCAAATCGTTTGAAGAAATTAAAAAAGACTTTGTTTATTAAAAACAGCAAGTGGTACAACATATTGCACTTGATGTGAGTCTTTATATGTACGTATAGGTGGATAGAGAAATGAGAGGTAGATTTGACGACGACAACAAATGTGTTCTATCGCAAACATACACTTCAACAACTCTAGTAACGAAAAACGAAAGAGAAAAAAAGGAGAGAACGAGTTCTTACAAATGCAGATATAAAAAAAAGTTACTTGACAATAAAATACTTTTCAACTATGTTTTTTTTTTATATATCCAATAGTACCACGCGAGAAAAAGACTATTTCTTCAGTTCTTTTTTTCTTCTTCATTCTTTATATGACGGTAGTATCTACTTTTTCTCAACACCTTTCTTTTCTTTTCCTCGGTCTCTCTCTCTCTCTCTCTCTCTCTCTCGTTTTCCCTTTTGCAATTTCCTTCTTTACATATACATCCGGTTTTTATCAATGTCATTTAAATTCAAGAATAACCAACATATCTTTAGATAATTTTATTAGATCTTTTTTTTTGTTATTGGTTCAAGATCTAACGACGAAAATCATAACAAATTCATGTTAACATCACCACGAACAAATGGTGCTGATAATTTTGTTCCTAGTCATCATTTAGCATTGATTACACAACCTGTATTAGGTGCTCGATCAAGATCAAGAAAAAAACCAACAAATATTATTGTTGAAGCATCAACATCAACTAAAGAAAAACTTGATTCAATGACAAATAGTCGTCGAAGTTCATATAATGATTCACCACCATTAATTTTACCTATTAATCGAGTAAAGTTCAAATTTGAAAAGCAAAAACAAAAGAAAAAGAAAAACAAGAATTCATCTTTTATTTAGATTGATACATCGCAATATCAAAAGAAATCTAATTTTAATAGTTATCATGAATCATCAGATTCCGGTCTTGATTTATCCTTATCAACAAATTCATCTGTTCAATTTCAACAATATTCACAACAACAACAACATATTCCTATTCATCGTCCATTAAGTGCACTTAATGAAGATTCAAGTCCTGATGATGGATATTATGATGAACATCAACAAGTATCAATTGATGTTGATCATCTTCGATGTCCACCTATTAATTTTGGACGAAATCGTTCAATGGAAGATATGATTAGTAATAATACACGTGAAGAACAACAACAACAACATCGTTCAAGTTCATTTTCTGATGAACGACAACAAAAATTATCTTTACACCAAGACACAAAAGTGAAACGATCAAGTGATGGTGCTCTTTTAGATTTACTTGATGTATCACCAGAATCTTATAGACGAACAAATATAAATAAAAATGAACTTCTTTATCCTTCTAATACTCAACAACATCGATCATTAAATGATTTAACTAATAAAACTTTATCGAAAGGTAAAATAGATAAATTAGTCATTTTAATATATAGTCAATTTCTCGAAATAAAAATATGCTATATCATTCAAAAAGTTCTATTCAATAATATCAATGAATATAATTTGACCTTCTCTGATTATTAAGAAAGAAGAGTATCTGACCATTCTTATCATGTGACACATTAGTCTTATCAGTGAAAGTAAAAAAGATGTTTATACCGTTGAGTCCTATATAACTTAGAAACAAAAGGAAAAAAGTAAAGATAACCAAATAACAATACAAAGTCTCTTGTTTTTCTTTTGTATCTTTTTATTTGTTTTTAGGTTTAACTACTCGTAATGAATTGAATATGCCAACAATTACTAATAATTTATCAACAACACATACAATTACTCGAAAACCAAATACATCAACATTAAAACCGTTAAGAAAAAAAACAAAATTAAATATTCTTGTTGAACCATCCGCACCATTAACATCATCACGTCTTACTGGTTATGACGAACAAATTAATACAATGACAGGAACAACAAGTAGCTCAAGTAATCAAACAACACCTCGTTCAATACGTCCATTAGGTCAACAACAAAACCAACAACAACAGCAACATAAGTCAAAAGCAATGACGCAACTAGGTCATTATCCAAATCGAGAAGAAATGAGAGCACATGTTAATCGATCTGTTATTGAAAGACAAAATCCAATAAATTTAGTAATACCTATACGTCCAGGTGTTATACAACAAAGATTACCATTTGATGCTTCACCTTCAAAAGTAAATAATCTTCTATTAAGATATCATGGTCAACAACCTCAACCATCCACAATTTACCCTTCAAGTAAGACAACCTTCATTACTGTTAGATATAAATAACTTTCTTTTTCATTAAAATTTTTATCTTAAAAAAACCCTAAAAGCTTTTATATTCTGATTGATGTTTTAATGGGCATAGGTCTATCTACTTAAGTTTAACAGAAAAAATCTAATTTTTTAAATAGCATAAATAAATAAAAATGAAGCATATAAGAAGAGTGTAACACAATCATCAAAAGAAATCGGAATAGAAGTGCTCATTTACTTTCTGCTTGAAGAATTGCATGCATAATATGCATTTCAATAAATAACGAATACTCATAAAAAGAAAAAGAAAAAAAAACGAGTCAATTCTTTTCTTCAAGGTCTTCCTACTATAGAATTTTTAATTTACATCAGTATATTTCTATAAATATTAACTGACTAAAACCAAAAAATATATTTGAGTCTATATTAAGAATCCACAAGAGAAGTACAAACAATATATTTTCTTTATTTATTTTTATTAATTGATATTTATCAGTTAATTCTTAAGTATGTTCCTATTATTTTTTTAAAGGTTCAAATGTACAAACGTCACCAACCCGACAAACAAAACAAACATTACCAATATTATATAATGAAGAAACCATTGGTAATATTCATGATGACAAAAGAAAACAAAAAGAACAAATAAAAATTAAAAAACTTAAAGAATACGAAGAAAAAAAATATTTAAAACAAAAAGAAGAATATGAAAATAATAGATTAAATGAAATTCATCAAAAAGAACAAGGAAGAATTAAAAGTAAATATATTTTAATTCTTTTATATCCTTTTTGTCTTATCTAAATAAACAAATATCTGTGAAATTAATTTTAAAATTAATCGTTTTTTTTCATTTCAAGTCAAAGATATTCAAGGATCAATTCCATTTAAATATACTCATAAACGTGAAAGTTCACAAGATCAAATTGAACAAGTCGTTGTACAACGACATTTTATTAGTTCAAATCAAAGACAACAAGAAAAAGAAGTATCATTTGAAAAAATTCATCAACGAAATAAATTTGTTAAGAATCGATTACCTGATGAAAATGAGAATATTGATGAAAAACAATATACAGAATATATTCCTACAAGTACAAATCATCGTCAATATGAACATCATACTGATACTCGACAACGGCGAGCAGTTGTTAACGATTCCAATCGAAATACTATTGCTGACAGATATGAATCTATTCAATCGACTAATACAACTGGTAGATTACAAGATGCTAATAACATTTATCGACGACAACAACGAAATGTTGCTTATGGTGATGATCCTGTCCATATAAATCAATCGAATGAAATCGATCGAGAATTGGGTGGAAAACAACAAATTCATGGATCAAAACCAACAGGACTTGTCATTCGAAATAAAAATAATAACAATGAGAAAAATTTCAAGTATTACGAAATATTTTTCAATAAAAAAATTTTTTAAGTAATTATCTCTTTTTTTTCTATTTAGTCGGACAACAGAAGGCAATAGTCAATATGGACCTGATTATTCACATGGTGTACAAAAAAAACCTATTACTAAATTACAATCTCGTCCATCAAAAGTTTATTTTCAAACATTTGAATATCTAACAAATCGTAATCCTTCAATTGAAACTCAAATGGATCAAAATCAACAATCAGATCAAAGACGAAATTCCAAATATGAAAATGATCATTATCCATGGCAGAAATCTCAAACTAGATCAACATCAAAGCCTACTCGAATTCAAGCAATATATCCTAAAAATACAAATATTTATGATTCAAAACAAGAAAGAGAAACAAGTGAATTAAGTAATATATCAAAAGGAGATTCAATACAATCGGATGGAAAAAAATTTAATAATCAAAAAATTATTGAAAAAAGTTTTACTCATAATAATTTTCAATCAAAATCACCAACATCATGGCCAATTATATCTGAACATGAAAATGATCAACAAGAATATGAAATTTATGAAAAAATAACAATTTATAAATCTGAATTATCAACATCACCATTATCTAATAATGACTTAATTGAAAATAATTCTAATACACCTCCTCGTACTTATCGTTTAATGAATAATAATCAACAAAATCTTCTTGATGGAAGATATGTTATTCCATCTAATAAGTATGTTAATCAATATTTAATTTAAAAATCATAATTTCATTTTTTTTTTATTATTAGTTTACAAACATCTTCAGTTGTTGGTCCTTCTTCTAATCCATCATCTTGTCATACATATCCATTTACATTAACACATGATATTGAAAATAATAATGATATTATTATTATTGATGATACTACACAATTAATAAAAAATACAAAAACTAATTCTCATGTACCTGACGTTTATGTTTTATCTGATCGTGAAAGTACAAAAAATACAATTGATCGACAAAGTTCTTCATCTTCTTTGGTGCATAGATCTTCAAATAAAAAAATCTATTCACCACAAGAAAAATTAATTATATCATCAGAAAAAGATAATGAAACAACATCGAATTATGACAGTGATGATGGTTGGAGTGATGATTCAGTTGAACTTTTATATGTGGATGAACGATATGCAACAGAAAAGGGGAAGATTACTTCATCTTCACATCTACCTTCGCAACAACCTTATCATTATCAAGTTCAACAACAAAATGTGCTTCTTCAGTAGTAATCTCGCCTCGTTTCATTGTGTGCTTTATATCTTTTGTTTTCTTTTTCTTTTGTGAATAATTTATAATCAGAAAAAAAGAACAAGTTTTTTTTTTTATTGTGACAAAACATTAAATTTGAGAAATATAGTATTCAATCAGTTTAAATTTGTATAACAATCATCTTTCTTCTTGTTTTTTTTTTGTTTTTAAGCTTTGTTCTATCATTCGAACATTAATTCATATAATTAGTTTTCGAATGATTTACATTAGAAAAAAAAATCTATTAACCTAATTGGCAAATTATTTTTATCTCAAAACATTGTTTCGGTTTACAATTCAGATCTTAATTATTTTTTCTTTCTATTTTTTTTATTATTTTCATGACAGACGATGAAAATAATCTCGTATAAGAAGATCTACCTGACAAGAGATTTAAAAGAAATACTACATAGAACATGACATCTTACTTAATCAAAGAAAAATTCCGAAAGTTTTTTTATTCATTGGTTATTTATACGATGTGTTTCTATCGGTTCGAAGAGAGTCAAATAGCATATTTGTCTTCAAGTATAGGGTTGTTGATATTTTTTACGAGGAAGGGGAGAGGGAAAGAACGAAACCTACCTTGATTCAGCTTCTTCCACAACAGACGATCTACCACTAGACCGTCTCTCCACCGGAGCTTGTCCCAATCCTATCCATCTCGCGATGACATTTTCTGCCAGAGATAAGCAAATGATGTTTCAAAATCCAGTTTTGTTCAAAGTTACTACGAAGCTGTGATAACTTGGCAGAAAGTCGGATAATTGCCGGGAGAGGGGGAGAAGCTCTTCCTCTCTAATTGATAACTCCACTGAATTATCCCCATGATCATAGGACTCTTTTCTAATTCATATCTTTAAAGCTATAAATTAGTTTTTATTCTAGAGTTGTAAACCAAGAAATATAAAGGAATAAAATCGTCCAATGTTGTTTATAGTTTTGTCTATAAATAATTTCGAAATTAATGAATGTTCAAGTCAATGTTTAGTTACACGATGATGCACTAAAAAAATAGTACTAATGTCTTATTTTGCGATGTTGTTGAGAGTTTTAATTTAACTGAAAAAAAAACTTCATTGATACATTTGACAGTAGATTACGTATTGAACGGAGAATATAATAAGAGCAGATATTTGTCAAATGATTTGCATGAACTTCATTTTTTTTCTCATTTGAAGTCAATTTAACCCTTTACACCGTGTTGAGTCATTTTTGACCCATTCGCAGAAACTATCTATTTAGAATAATAAGACATCAAATAAAGACGGTACGCGAATATTGTGTACAGGCTTCAACAAATTACAAATTCGAAAAGAAAATTAAATTGCTTTTCTTCACTCCTTGGCTAAGATTTATGAGTTGGAAAACAGTCTTTTTCAATAAAGGGAAAAAAATCTGTTTTTTTTTTATTTACTTACACAGACTGATTACTTTGATATTGGTGAGATTGATATATACTACTACAGACATAATCTATTTTCATAGTCGCCTTTAAAATGCCCTTGATTACAGATACAGAAGCAACATTTTTATGATAACTCAGACCATTTGTGACCCTCATTCGTAGTGAGTAACATTAAAAATGATTTTTCTAGAGTTATTTTGTTTTCGATATAAACCCATAAAACAACATGATCTTCATGCTAAACTCGTTGTTCAACAAATAATCCAAGATTACCAGGTTTCGAACATTCATACAGATAACAAAAAGCTATAAAAAAATACAATTAACAAATAAATTCAATTTTTATGTCATTTCAGACGAATGAGCCATTTTTGACCTATTCTACATTTGCTCAGCGAAATAACTTTGTCCAAATTTAACTATATTAAAGTCATAATTAGCAACTGTTGAAGCTTTCCTCCTGATTGACTCGACAGCAACTCTGTTTGATGAGTGTCAGAAAATAAAAGAGTTAATCTAATCATTTTTTGCGATCAACGTCTTGTATAACTATGCTGCACGAAACACGGTTCGTGCTCATTACACTCATATTATTCTTCGATAAATTCATTTGACGACATATAAAAGTCATACAAGTGACTTTGTTTTTTTTTCTATCGAGTATCAATTACTCTATATATTTATGCGCATATTTTATATGTCACAATAACGAGAAACTATGGGTAAGGAAGATGTTCATTCAGTTTGCAAATTTCAGAAAAAGAAGAAACATTCTAGCCCGAATTTTTTCGAATGCACTCAACTGCTTGTCGCATGTTTAGTACCTATCACCATTGCTGTTTATACATTTATACAAAATGATAATGATCAAGCCATTGCATTAGTCAATCGAGAAAAAGATTTGGAGATTGCTCAAAATCAACGAGCACAAGATTTGAAAATAGCTGAAGATCAACAAAAAGCAAATATTCTTGCCGCTTATGAAAGTTTTCTTGTCGGTCATTTAAACCGTTATGGTATGACACTCAATGGAAGCACATCATCTAGATTTGTAGCTTGATTCAAGACATTAACAGCTATCAATCAACTAGATTGAAATCGTAAAACATTTCTTATTTGATCACTCTTTAAAACTAAATTATTGTCAACGACTATAATTCAAGTGATCCTACAAATTCTGGTATAATTTCCTTGGAAGAGACTGATCTTTCATGTGTTAATTTCTACTCGACTATTCTTATAGATAGTGATTTCACTTATACGTCTATTGTAACAATAAAAAATCATTGTTTTCTCAAATCTGATCAACTTAATCGTACAATTTTTGCTGAAGCAATAATGAATAATATTAATCTTTGTCATGCTGATTTTATTGGTACTGACTTTACAAAAGCAAGTCTTATTTGTGCTAATATAAGTTATTTTGTTTGTCTTGAATGTTTATTTGTTCATAAGAATATGTTTCGTGCAGATTTGAATTTCTCTCGAATGACAATGTATTGTAATTTTCAATTGATCAACCTGACGGAAGCTATACTTCCATCAGTTTTATTTAGGAAAGCAACATTCATTAATACGATATTTACACGTATTCAAACAATAGAAGTTCAATTCAAGCAATGTTCATTTACATCAATACATTTTATTAATTGTACATTCGATAAATCATTGATTATTCAATCAAACTTTTTCGATATATATTTTAATGGTATAAACTTAAGGGAATCTATTATAAGAAATGCTGATTCTATGAATATCTCAATGCAACATACTAATCTGAGTAGCACAATATTTGATCAATGTATATTTATTAATGTTGATTTCAATGATACTATATTGACAAATGTAACTTTACACAAATGCATGTTTCAACGAAGTTTAATTAGCAATAAAGAAAGATTACAAGTGACATCATTTAATGGAAGTATTTTTTCTTAGATTATTATTTTTAATCATAATAAACCAAAAAAAAAACAGGAAATAAAATTTTGATATGATGACAATGGCAATATATATTAAAAATAAATATTCGTTGATAAATGAAATATTCATATTAAGAGAAGCATAATCATTGTCTAAATATAGATGCGAAGAAATTTTATAGTTTATTGATTTTTTAATGCACCTAATATTCACTCACGAGCATATATGATTCGTGAGATTTATTTTAAATTCTTTTTTTTTGTTATCATATTCTCATATTTAAATCAATATGAGTTTAGATTTTCATGCATATCATTATGTCCGTCTATGAGTATTTCTCTTTTATGATAATTTTGGTGAAAATAATTAACCATTGCATCTTGAATTAAACCGGATTACACAATGAATAGAGAAAAACAAAGACAACATGTTTTTTCTTCTGATACAAGGTAATGATTTACGAAGGCTTAAGTAATAATACAAAAATGAAATAAATAATTGCTATCCTTCTTTTTATAATTTAATTTTCAAACTTGCCGAAGTATATGATTTCTAAAAGATTTCATTAAAAATCGACCAAATGCATTAGACATATAATTTATTCTCTATTTGATCTGATAAGTTGATTAACTTGTGATAGAAATTGAGAAAAAGTATAGGTTAACATGAATCATCATTGTAATGCCTTTTTATCTTCCAGCTGGATTGTTATACATAGGAGAGTTACAATATGATGTTTCTTTCGCTTAAGTAGTATAGTCTTAAAGAATGATTCGATATTGCGGTTTTGTTCAACATTGTACTGCTTTGGTAAACAACAATATTGAATTTATTTGGAACAAAATGATATGCGTTTTATTATTACACTAAGATAATTTTATGAACATTCAATTGTATGACAAACAAAGACAGTAAGGGTCACGTGAAGTGAACCAAAGTTGGCGCTATCCAAACTGTAGTCTAAAATCCATACTTTACCATTTTTAGGTCATATGAAGTGAGCCAAAGTTGAGTCTATTAGTCCATATTATACCCATTTTAAATATATAGTACTCTGATACCGGAAGTGCCATCCCCATAACAGAACAATAATACTCATAACCCGGAAGTGTCCTTCCAAAAAACAGAGCAATAGTACTCACAACCCGGAAGCGCCATTCCCATAACAGAACACAATTGTTCTGTTATGGGAATGGTACTTCCGGCATCAAAATATCATTGTTCTGTTTTGGGAACGACACTTCCGGGTTATGAGTACTATTGTTCTGTTTTGGGAATGGCACTTTCGGGTCGTGAGCACTATACTGTTCTGTTTTCGAAAAAATGGTTCGATTGTGGTAAACTAAGGAGTCGCATTTTGATTGGTTGATTTTCTTTATATGAAGTGAACCACATTTCTTTGGTTAGCATGTTTGGCTCACTTACTATGACCTATCCGCACCCACACCCACTCACCCTTATTAATATTATCATTTGAAAAAAATGAAGATGATATTATTATTGATGATTTATTAGATAAACGAGTTATTATTGATAAACATTGATCAAATTTTTTAAAATATAAATTAATTTCCACAAAAGTTGATAAATAATTTTGTAATTTAACAAATAATAATTGTTTTTTATTATCATCTGATGAGGATATGATTAATAATATATTATAAAATTCATTTTGTAATATTGCTATTTCCAATAAAAGATGATCCAAATCAATCTAATACATGAACAAAATCATTTATTAGTCATATGACTTTGCAAAATTAAAACACGTATATCTTGAGATAAAGAATTTCATAAGAGATAATTTTTATATTTTACATGTATGTTAAGTTACTCTAGATAATTTTAAAAAAAGAACTCAACACTAGATATCTCTCTTGAGAGATACTATCAGTAAAAAAAACAGTGTGAAAGGTGTTATACAAGAAAGATATCGACTTTCACTTCATGCATTTTAGTTAAAAAAAAACTCCGACTAAAGATAACATTAGTGGAAACTAAATAATAAATTCTGTAGGCAATATCTGAAGCTATAAATCTCTCTCTGAAGTTTTTTTTCTGAGCATGTCTAAATTTAAAAAACAAGAATTCATTTACTTTTTAATTAATAGTTAGCTGAAAGAGTTAACATTTTTACATCTGTCTATTCTGAAAGAAGTCATTCAGAAAAATAATCTTTATAAAGAATCAAAGGTCAATTAAAAGTAGGTACATTCCATTTTGCCTGAATGATCCATATATTAAATATACATTTTTTTTAATAGAAAAAAAAGCATTATTTATTACTTGTTTATCTTCATTGATTTTATATTTATGATCAAGTGTTGAAAAATTTTTAAATAATCGTTGTTTATTAACAATTAAATACATCAATGACAAATGATGAATAAGATATTAAAAATATCTGACATTCTGTTAAATATATACTAGTATCAAGAAAATATCTATAGTTTAAATTTTCAAAATAAAACTTTATTTCATTTAGTTTTACGTTTAAGTCGTTTGAGACTGAGTATTAACAGATAAAGTCTATAGAGTATTGTCAAAGTTATTATTTATGCAGACAAACAGATATATCTAATTTCATCAATGATTGTTACTAATTTATATAGGTATATTTGAGACTGTGAAAAACTCTGATCAAATGTTCTATAATGATTTTTAGCATATAAGAGATATATTTTTGTAAAGATTGTATCGTAAGGAACAGAGACAGATATTCATCAACGATGAATCAAAAATCAAATAATAAATTGTCATAGGTCTCAGAGGAAATAAAGTCGATACTGTCGCATTAGAGTTATTGAAAATCAATCAAAGCACTTGGAATCAGTCAGTGAAGTGACTTGAAGTCATTCCAAACTACCTTAAATTATTTAAAGTTCATATTGAGAATGTGGGCGTGGGTGAAAGCAAGACTCACAACCACACCCACGCCCACGCCCCACACCCTAAGTGTGATGGATTGCTGTTTCTCTTATTCTTAAGGTGGAGTTTGATGTATGTAATGCATTCGCTATATTAACTGCATCTTTTCTTTTGTTCTAAACATAGAGTCTGACCAGAAACACAGATAAAAATAGCCACATAACAATTTCCTTTCTAGGGATGTAGACATGGATGTGCGTGTTGGCCAAAACGACTCAGACCCACAGCCACAACCATCACTTACATCCACTCACACACACACCCGCACAATCGTCCTTCTTGTCACATTGATAGCCAATACTGTAAACTAACGATACGAAAAGCTCTCTGTGAATGTTTATAACATTGTTTGATTCTGTGTTCTCATCGTCAGTCCACACAAAGTACGTCCTGCATCGTATCTAAGATGTACACTGAGATAGCATTTAGATTTTTTAATTCGTTGGCATTGGCCATTGGCGATGACCAAATGCTCGCCAAATGCATACGAGCGATACGAATAGTTAAAAAGGCATTGAGGAGCTTGACCCAAATCAACTGCAGCGAGCAAAACTACTATGTCAGTAAACTATGAAGCAATCATTTTAGTTGGGTCCATTTTTTTTTGGTTTTTTTGAAAATTAAAATAAACCTTTTCCCACTTTATGTTTGTGCGTGAAGCACCTCTAGCGCATTATATCACGAAGCAAAAGTGTTATCTGAGTTTTATCAGTATCACATAGTCTTCATAAGGCTGTGTTCTTCAGATAAGAGTCGTCACTACCTACATTGCATTATAAACAAAAAAGCTTTCCTAGAATTTATTTTACACGTACTTCATCTGGTTAAGAAGCGTGTACGTGTGGGTGTCGAATGCAGATGTGAAAGAGAATGTAGATCTACATCCAGCCATACCTATGTTCACAATCACACCTACACCCACACCCTCTAGTGTTGTTGAGATGACCCACGGCATTTATTTAAATGATACTGTAAAAGTGCAGTATTTTCGCAGTAATAAACTAAAGGTTCGAACTCTTCTCAAAGTAATCATAGTTCATTTGGAGCTACATAACCGAGAATCCCATGGGGGCTTCGCCGTCGCGGCGGCATTCTGCCAGCTTTCTGTTTCTGTAGATTCTAAATTTGCATGAGTTGGCAATGAATTTGAGTGTCTGCAAGTCCAACAATCAGAATCGTGATGAATATGATAGACTCAATCGAACTATGCTAATTAGGAGTGGCGAAAGGGATTTTTGAAGAGTTTCCCGAAAACTATCGTGGTAGCAGTGCAATAGTCTTTGTTCTTCTAGGACTGCGGCGTGCCAGTTGTAGATTTCCAACCATAATGGATATCTGTGCTTCATAATGCATATAGTTTCGACGACTCAAAAGCGAATTATCAGTTAGATAAAACAATAGTTTTAATAAGTTCTTCTTATTTTAGTTGAGATTGATATTGAATAATATTGTCGAATTAATAAGCTTCTTACAGGAAATCAAACAACTTTATATCGACTTCTTTTGTAACTTTATCTCACATATAATAAAGTTTCAAATAATGTATTACAATATATTACATATCTTCAACCTGTTGATATTGAAAGTCCATTTCTATGACAAATTTTTTCTTTAACTGATATGTTTGTTTATTTTCAAATGATCTCAAACACATAGTTTAAAACAGATGATTTTGTTTTTATTTATATTTTGGATGTCACCAATTGCATTTTTTTTCGATGTTTTTCAACGTGTTCGTCAGATTTTCATTTTGCTTTTATTTACATCTCAATGCTTAGGTTTTGGTATACATACTTTTATTAATGAATGAGAATGATTTAGAAAATAAATTTAATTTTTTTAGTCATAATTCTTCTTTGACTTTTGTATAATTTCTAACATTGGAATAATTGTTTGATTGATGTGTAAACATTGAAAGATATATATGAAAAGCATGGAATTTCAATTGATCAAAAATGATTCTAAAAATCGAAAGACTCAACTAGGTTATCGTACCATACATTAAGTAAAAAAATAATAAAGGTGTGACAAGAGATGAAATCATATAAAATAGAATTGTGTCTCAATAATCATAAGTTAGGCATAAATAGCAGAAGATTTCATTTTGTACAAGAGTATTGGTGTGGCAGTGAATGTATAGATATTGGTTTAGGCTTTCTCTTCATACTTGCATCCAAACAACTCATCTGCCAACAATAATGAACCTATTGCGTTTTATTGAAATGCAAAAAAAAGACGAGACTAGGGTAGTTTTTCGAGAAGCTACCTATACATGAAAAAGAATGAGAACTTCACTATTTGTTTTTGTCATGTTGACTACCTACAACAATACTCTTATGTTTTCTCTATTTGATAAGAGGATAACACATTTTCTTTTCCTTTGACTCACGTCCCCGACGTAATAAATATTTGACGAACATCAACATGAAACTTGTATGTAATTATCTATTTGATAAAGTTGTGTTCTTTCCTTTCTCAAATTATCATGTACTTTTTTGTAAATAATTCTTATCACTCGTTAAATTTCTGTTTTTTTGAGAAACCCAAAACAATCGAAAAAAGACTACTAAATACAACAGTACATCTACTCATTCAAAGTAAGAAAATGAAGAAACTTACAAAGTGAGAAATTCAATCGATATTTGCAGATGATGTCGAAAATATTTTTTGCTTTTAACGAATGTCATTCTCTAGCGAATTTAAGAGGTACTTCCTTTTGAGACACATACCATAAGGATATTCTTTCTTGGCCGATTATATGATTGAAATACTCAAGTACATTATTAGAAAAAATAAAATAAAATATTCTCTGAGAAATTTCAGACAGTCGATACTTTCAAGGTAGATTTTTGGGTCAACTAGTTATTGCACAGCGCAAAAATTTCTTTATGCGTTTTTTTTCTGGTATCCAAAAGCCTATAGCGGAAAAAACTTGTTGATATCACCAAATGGAAAATAATTATGTTGGGATTGTAGATCATCTTCATGTGGTGTTTTGCTTTCTTGAAAGACGAATCTTAACGATGTGACAATATATTTTTTCGACAATCACCAAATGTCCAACTCCGTTCATGTTCTGTTTTAATTGAGAAACAAAAACTACATGAAGATACTAAATCGACTATGGACTACAATCTTAATATAGTTATTTCCATTTTGACGATATAAAAATGATTCACTTTCGTACCTACAGGTTTTTTTAAACAAAGAAAATCAGTGTGTAAATAATTTTCATGTTATGTTTCTACTAATTAACCCAGTAGTCTATTCTAAAAGTTTCAGCTCTCAAAACTTCTGAAGCAAAAGTTGATTTCTTTTTCTTTAATGGTTTAACCGTCTAAACTTATTCAATAAGATAAGGAATATCATGTTGGAAAGTGATATGTATTTGATCCAATATTTACTCTTTTACTCGACAAAAATGATTCGTTCTGATAAAGAATACAAGATAAGAAATAGCTCACCTTTATTTAAACAATGTGTCTCATCATTCTTCGTAAAATTCTCGATTGTGCATCTGTGAATTAAAATCACATATTTCAGATCTCATATTTCTTGGAAAAACACTATCACATTTTCAGTATTCATAATCAATGGTTTATATGTTGTCTCTTAACAGATCGATAAAAATGTGTGTAGTTCAAACCCTTAGTCAGAGTAAACAAGATTTTTTTCCAATCTATAATCCAAGCATCAGTGGAAATCAATGTAGATTTTTTCTCAGTAATAGAAAATTGAATTAATTTGTTTCGAAAAGCAAATTTTAGACAAGAAAACAAAATAAATGAAAATTTAACATTCTTTTTGTTGAGGAGAAATCTTTCAATAAAGAAGAGTGTCCTGTACATTGTCGCAACTTGACTCTTCATTTTATCTTCAGATCTTTTTTTGACGTCGACGGCTTTAAATATAGTCCTAAATAGAATTTTGCAAGATTGATTCAATGACATGATAGCTTTGGCTTTGGTGTAAGTGTGAAAATATTCTCCTTCGAGCTTGTTCATGTTTGCCTCGATATCAATTTATTATGACTTCATAAAAATTGACCGAAAAAATATTTAAAAATGTGCGTCTAATACAATTTTTTTTTGATCGATCCAATGGTTGTACCTTGTTTATGGCTTTTAAGTTCAGAAGCGTTGTTATTCATGCAAAAAACTTTTTTTGTTCGCTCTGCAGCTATTTTTCGAGATTGATTGAGAAAATGTAGAAACGAGAAAAGTTTCACGCAAGAAAATACCAAAAGGAGATTAATGAAACGAAAAAGGTCAAAACAGGGAACGAATCCATTTTGTTGATAATAAGTAAATCTTCTAGATCTTTTACGACTTCATATCGAGAAAAAACATAAATAGAAGGCGATAGTGAAGTAGAATTATTTTTTCCAAGAATGATGTTGATCGATCGGACAAGAGTCTTTTTATATAAACTTAGTTTTCAGG